TCGGCAAGTGCTGATATCGGGCTCTTCTTCGTCGCGTTCCAAAATTTGTTCTTCAGCTTGCAGTATTCTTTCTATCCTATCACGGCCACGATCGTGAGTTTGAGGTTGAGGTATTGACACACTCTGAATTAGAAAACTTCACCATAAACCAACTCTCGCCCGTTCGATGCAAGTAACAGATCATGGCTGGCCATTTTCTTATTTTTGCTCGTTTCTTATCAGTCCCTTTTTTGATTCTTAATCTGAGTCATTCTGTACCATTAATTGAAAGAAGTAGGTCAAGAAACACTACCAGCGGCGTTCTAGACACTGCTATCACGTAGGACCGTGAATTTTACACATTGACATAATCGTATTGTGTGTGAGCTATTCCACTTTTTTTGCATATATTCCGCAATTACCGTGTATATTAACATCAAAGTACAAGCAAATTTGTGGGTGCTGTATTAAATATATTGCTTACTTGGGAGGCCCCATGTTATCAGCTCATCGCCAATTACGCGTTGAAGTATCTGAGCGTGTTATTAACGGTTTATCATTGTTTCACACAACAGCTGTACAGAGGAAAATAGTTCTCGTACAGAGAGAATATTTATAGTGCAACGGCATGCTGTCCCAATTATTTCCAATTTTAACTACAGAGGCGACGTCAAGAAAATGTTCATTAACAAGAAAATCATGACAATTAAATCAGCTTCTAATAACTACTTAGTGTACAGAATATTAAACAGTACAGTTTACGTTCTGGTATGGATAGTCATGTTACTAGAATAAAATATAATTCAAAGCACCACTTTGCTCATGTTTAAAAAAAAAGTAGCAGACAATTATTACCGTCAGAGATTCTTTAACAAATTTTATTCTTGGCACAATTTAAGAAGAAATTAAGTTATTGTTATTATTATACTGTTTATTAATGTGCATACAGTTTTACTTATATATAATATATTTTTATTAGCCGCTTTTCTGACGATTGGAACATTGTTTTGTCCAAGCAATTTGTGAAATTTAAAAAACTAGGTGCAAAGCCAAAGGAACTAAGCTTATTGTGTCTACTCTGTATCAAATTTGGACCCAACCGTTCATTTCTTGGCTACTCTACGGAACAAAACTTACTAACTTGGGTAGACCTAAACGCCCTGGGAGAAATCGGTTCTGGAGAATTAAAAAAAATCCTGCATAGTTATGTGTATGATTAAAAATTGCTCGAGCCAATAGTTTGGTGATTAGGGTTTCGATAAATGTTTCATACAACCAAACCGACACTAATTTGTTCTTTTCTTTCAAACCATGTAATCGTCTCATTCGGTGCTACTAAGTGTTAAATTAGTTGCAACGAATTTACCTGATGTTAAATTATGCCACACTTTATCAACGATTCAAACAAGAAATTTACATTATGTTAAATTTTGCCTTGATCCAAGTGACTGGTTACTTAAAACCATTAGCTTTGAAAGTTTATATCGTGGACTGTCCCCAGCTTATCCCAAACAAACACATGATAAATAAACTAAATCCGGCGTTGCGAGAAAAGCTTCTCGGTGATGTAATTTTCCACGTTGCGAGAAAATATTTCTCAGTGATCTAGCTTTCCACGTTGCGAGAAAAATATATCGGTGATGTGATGATAATATGATGTTAATAACTGCCTAAGGGGCGAAATTTTTAATCCTCCCGTACCTCAGTTCACGATATTATGAATTCTACCGCACTTTCACGGTTCTTTTCCCAGAGTGGGACAACGTTAGATTGATTAAGTGAATTTCAGGAAATCTCCAAGCAAGTGCTTGATCTAAACAAACTCCTGACTGTTAAATTGTATTAGAACCAGTAATGATTACATTCCTAACATGCACTGTGAATTTACAAACAATAAAACGAATTTACAGCACGTGTTGGCGTCGGTCGAAAATTCGCCTATTTCCGCTTCGAAAAACCGTAAGAATTAGCTACGCGTGTTGGGGAAACTGTGGCGTCGTCGTCGTTACGATTAATTTTCTTTAAACAAAGGCTTCTTCCTTTTTTCCAGCTACCAAACCAACTAAAGTTAACCTAGCTAACTCACCCCGTGGTTTCACTCATAACAAATAAACCAAAAGTGACGCGTCACGACCCTCTAGTCACTAAATTAACTTCTACCAACCCTTTCAACAGAAATTTCCTAGGAGAGCTATCAACTACTCAAAAAGCGCTGAATGCACGTTCAGCATGGTTGCCTATGTTTAACGATTTTCTTGATTGATTTTTTTTTCAAATTCATATTATTCAAATGCCATTTCGCGCCGTTGTTTTTTTTCAGTTTAACTTTCTCCAATTATTATTAAACTTTGAAAAGATACGAATCCACAGAATCTTCTTTGAAAAACTGTTAACCATATTCCAACCTTCTTGGAATGAAAAGGTATCTAAAGAAAAGTATGTGGATTTTTTTTAGTCCAGTTTCAAAATGTCTACAAGTTAACAACCATATAAATGCAACTAAGCTCATAGCCAAAGAATGTTATTTTGAAACCCGTTATTATAATATTCAAGACGACGAAGGATATCTGCAGGAAAAGTTCATATGCCGTGGTAATCATCTAAAACTAAAGGCTTTTCCATTGATTTATCATTGCTTACATGCCAGTTCTCAGGAATCTATTAATTACATCCCGAACATAATTAAATAAAAAAGCGTCCTGAATTTCAATTTCTGGAAACCTTGCAACGTACATACTCCTACAAGCTGACATTGCGTAGAACAATTCGCCACTCTAGAATGTTCACTTACGATAATGAGACGTCGCACTGAATGTGGCTTGTTCCAAAGAATAGACAATTGTTGCTAATTCACAACTTGAGTAAATTGCAACATTTTAATACCAAACACACAAATTACTCTTTGAATTAAAATAATGTATAAATTTAAAAAGCTGTTTAATTTATAATCGATCAAAAACACTGCGAAACTATGAATATTAATTTTAAATATCAGAATTATTCTGACAGATGATATATTAGTTAAAACCAGAAGTATCCATCAGCACGAAGAGGGGAAAATTTACATTTTTCAGTGTTACAGGTCACTATATATGAAATATTTCACCAAAGAAAAAATAATAACTAGAGAGCGGATTTTATGAAATTTGCATATTCGTTATTTTTTGCATATAAGTCTTGATATTTAATATGTGAACGAATCATGCTAATTAAAAATGAATACAGCTATAAAAAAAATTGCATATTTGCATATATTTGCCTTCTGCTGCATATTTCACGTAACGGGTGCATATTTTGCATTTTTATGAATTTTTGTGCTAATTTGAAAAAAAAAAATGATTGTCATTCTATCGGCATTTATCTAGAAAGACGAAATTTCATGAATCATATTGCAAATATTGTCCTGAGCTTCAAATAACTAGGGAAGGTTTGGGTTTTATGGTAGTTCTGAGAAACCACTGGGTGTTAAGCCATCCTTCCAGGTAAATTTCGCCGTAATTACTTTTGGAAATAAGTTCATTCCCAATATTTTTGTTCGTTACTTCAGTGTGTTACTGGTATGTTTTGTGGTGGTCGAAGGAACATTATCCTATTATTTTTCATCGTGAATTTGCATTAAAAGCATTTAAAGCGATACAGGTGTGTTAATATGTCGAAAATAACTCAAAATAATTTAAAGATTAAACTTTTTCCTGAACTTATTCTTCAAGAAGGAACTGTGTTTTGTCGCGCCTGCTTTAAACCGCTAAGTATTTTTATATCTGTGGACGTAGTACTCAGTTTTTCTATTTACAAATACAGTATAATCTCACTAATCCGGCACTATTAAAAACCGGAAGGTGCCGGATTATTGGAATGTTCGGATTACTGGATTATAGTGAAAAAGTCATAGGTAATGAATAAAATAAAGCATATCATAGAGGGTAGACCGAAGCGCACAGGTCTAGAGGGGTGAGGGAGGCGTGGGCAGAGGGTGCCGGATTATTGGACGTGCCGATCTATCGAAGTGCCGGATTAGTGAGATTATACTGTGCATACTTTAGAATCACCGGAAAAACTTTTTGTTAGAATATTTCGGAAAATATTGAAAACTAAATTGTTACCAAAATAGTAATTAAATAGTCGATTACTACTATTTTTTAATTTGTTCTATTTATATTTATTTTTTAGTATAAAAATATTATCATTAAAAATGTGATTTATGTGTTAGTGAGATGTAATTAAACACCTTGTAATGTGATTTATGTATTTTTTGCAATAAAACGTAAGCTCGGGAAACCTGTTTTTGTAATTTGTAAATAAATTTAGTTCGCTTATTACGCTTTTTTTTTAATTTTTGGAGCATATGCAACTGCATATCTCTGCATATATTAAGAAAGTTACTGCATATTTGCATAAATTTGGTGTATATCATATGATTATATTTCCCAAAATTTTGCTGCATATTTTCCGCTCCCTAATAATAACCATGCCCATTAACTCATTTGATATTTTGTTGTAACAACATGCTAAGATAAGTCAATTACAAGTCTTATAAAGCAATATGTACCCTTAAAAGAACTGATCGATCTGAAGATTATCGTAATCTTTGCATACAGTAGTCTGCTTGAGGTACTACACATATCTTATCATTAATATTGAATATTTTCGCTAAGATTCTTTAATTATTAGATTAGACCCCATTTCATTGTTAACTGAAGATTTGTGAACTTAAATACCCCAGAACTTTAAACCGCGCCCTCCGTTCTCCCCGGCCGACCTCTCCCCTATCTCCCGATTCCATCGCCGATAATTATTTCGATCGTTTCCGGGAAAGAAGAGCAACCTTATCGGTCGCATCGTATCGGAAAAAAATGCTAATAAAACTTTCCGTTGCGCAAGATATAAGAAAATTAGATTAGTTTTAGAGTAAACAGCCTACGCTCGCAACCTTTTAAAGCCCTACACTGTTTCGAGCTGAAAACTTTTGCACCCAACTCAAACAATCGACCGGAACTTAACATAGTTTCCTGTATTTGCAGTGTGGACGGACGGGATAGGGATTTTAGCTTGGCCGAGCGTTGGTCCGACGAAAATGTGTTTGCGAATAGGGCCTACTTCATGCCGGAGAAGCAACCGGCGGAGCTGGGAGTGGACCACATCAGGGAGTCGGACCAGGCGGTGTACCGGTGCAGGGTGGACTTCAAGAAGGCCCAGACGAGGAACAGCCAAGTCAACCTCACGGTCATCGGTAAGTGAATCGCCGTTGTGCGGAGCCGCCGGGCGCCAAGCGGAATTATTTTTTCCGCTGTAATCGCATCTGGGGGACTGGTTGTCGCATTTATCAGAGACTGTTTCGCCTCTACTGGTTGGTGTCGATTTGGCGCAGTCCCGCTCGTCGTCGTATTACCACATTCGCGACTAAAATTAAGATGTGCGCCAAATCAGCACCGACCAGTAGAAGCGAAAATCCCTCAGACAATCTCTAGTCTATACGGCAAATCATCTCTCAGACGACGTAATAATCTGACGTCCCATTCAAATTGCGCTCGGTTGGTAACAGAACGCAAAACGCCAGTAACGATCAGTGCTAATTTTGGACATCTCGTTTATCCTATTATGGCGCGCCACGTATAAATAGCACCTCCACATTAGCCTGTGAAGTCACTCTGGTTATGAAAATCGATCTGCCAGCCAATAACCTTTTTCATCTAAATTAAGTGGCGACGTACTCTGTCACGATACGGCCCTCGTCGCTTTTTAATTTCTTGCATAAGCGTGTTGGTCTAATAAAAAACGCCATCGACAATCAATGATGACCTGATTAATTATTAAGAGCCTCTGTTTTGTGTCAGTATTTAGAAAATAATCATTTTCCTTGTGTCAACGTCGACAAGCGCATATTTAATTCACGAAGTAATTAAGTTTTTATAGAGGACAACTCATTACATGTTTCCGTGAAGTTTCGCCGCCTTCCGTTGAAGAAACACGCAGGACATGACGAAATGGTTTTTTTATCTAGACAGAGTCAAATTATAAAAAACTGTTATTATTTTTAGTCCACATGAAACATCGCTATATCATCGCGTTGATTAATTTCACGAAGGATTAGTTCAAACGGGTTTCCTGGCTTGGATGTATAGAACCAGTATCTATAGTGTCTATTCCTGATTTTACATAACTTACATGATAACGATCTTAACCCAAATTTATCTCCCTAAAAAGTTAAATTACGACAAAAATTTTGTGCCTACATATATTAAAAAACAAAGACGGTGTAGTTCCATTCAGAAGGGAGAATCATCACAAATTCTGCTTGATGAAGTATGAAACAAATGGATCTAAAGTTATTCAAACAGAACTTCCCTCCTTCCTGCAGCACAAGCAATTAAGTTCAGTAAAATTTGAAGAAAAGAATTTAATTTTTACTTCCCGAGCGTAAGCTAAGGAATAGTAATCGAGTCCATCGGACGAATGGCCACTTTTATATTTTCTCGACGTTTCATAACCCCTAAAGAACGAAAAAAGTAGGCTTCCGTTTCCGTCTGTCTATCTGTCTGTCCGTTTGTTTATCTGTTTGTCTGTGTGTCTGTCTGTCTGGTGTTTGTATCCATTTTTCTTAGACGTCGCACGTTCGATTCCAACATTGGCCTTTCGTTTTTCTTTTTTTTTCTGTCTTTTTCTTTCGCATTGTGTATTAGCTATGTTTATGACGTCATAAAAAAAAATATTGGTGAAATTACCCCACTTTCTCAAAAAGGCAGAACACACCCTTTTTATTTAAAAATGTAAAACTTTCTCGGGTGTCTCAAGTGTCGTTTTTAAAATTGTAAAATCTTCTCGGGGGCGCCAAATACCTTTTTTTTAATGTGAAACCTTCTCGGGAGTCCCAGTTATTTTTTTATGTAAAACCTTCTCGGGAGCGCCAAATGTTTTATTTAGAATGTGAAACCTTCCTGGGGGGGTCCCAACTGTCTTTTCAAAAAATATAAAACCTTTTCGGGGGCACCAAATGTCTTTTTTTAATAATTTAAAACCTTTTCGGGGGTCCCAACTGTCCTTTTTTAAAGAATGTAAAACCTTCTCGGGGGCCCCAAGCGTCTTTTTTTTAAGAATGTGAAACTTTCTCGAGAGCATCAAATGTTTTTTTTAATGTGAAACCTTCTCGGGTGTCCCAAGTGTCGTTTTTAAAAATGTAAAATCTTCTCGGGGGCACCAAATACAATTTTTTAATGTGAAACCTTCTTGAGGGTCCCAACTATCTTTTTTAAAAATGTAAAACCTTCTCATGGCCCCCAAATGTATTTTTTTTTTGTAAAACGTTCTCGGGGGCGCCAAACGTTTTATTTAGAATTGGAAACCTTCCTGGGGGTCCCAACTGTCTTTTTAAAAAATCTAAAACCTTCTCAGGAGCGGCAAATGTCTTTTTTTTAAGAATGTGAAACCTTCTTGGGGGTCCCAACTGTCCTTTTTTAAAGAAGGTTAAACCTTCTCGGGGGCTCCAAGTGAATTTTTTTTAAGAATGTGAAACCTTCTCGAAATCCCCAAACGTTTTTTATTAAGAATGTGAAACCTTCTCGGGGATCCCAACTGTCCTTTTTTAAAGAAGGTAAAACCTTCTCGGGGGCCCCAAGTGTCTTTTTTTAAGAATGTGAAACCTTCTCGAGATCCCCAAACGTTTTTTATTAAGAATGTGAAACCTTCTCGGGGATCCCAACTGTCCTTTTTTAAAGAAGGCAAAACCATCTCGGGGGCTAAAAGTGTCTTTTTTTAAGAATATTATAAATCTTCTGGGGGCTCCCAACTTTATGCAGATTTTAGATAGGATTTACTCTGCAAAACTTTGAGATGACGTCATCGAGTTTTAGAAAGAAATGAACAAGAAAATTTTAGTTTTAATTTGCCATGTTTATCTTAAAAGTCTGCAGAATTTCAAAGCAACCGGTTTTATAATTTCGAAGTTAAATTGTAAAATGCTAACTTTAAATTGGAAGGTTTAATTCCATCAGGAAGGGGGAATCACCATAAATGCTGCACGATGTCTCGAATTAAAACACACTTTTTTCCAAATAATTAAAAAGGGAAATATGCATACAAATGCATTTTGCTTTAAATCTCGGCTTTAATTTTTGAAATAATCTTTAGTAAAAAATTCGCCTCAAGATGCGACATTTTGTATTTCAGGGGAGACAGCGTTCCGCACAGAAACTGCGCATTTTTCGAAATTTGTGTACAAACTGTCGGCAAATGCTGTAATCACTATCTCCTCCCCGGGAAAAATATGACGTTTTTATGCCATTTGCTTCGGAACTCGAATACGCGGTTTCAGCAACCTCGAAAATTATTCAGAATATGCACGAATGATAAAACAAAATACAATTTACATAAAGCCACATGAATAAATTGAATTTATTCTCATTTTTTGTCCCAGCGGTAAAAAAATAATAAACCGACACGTCCTGATATTCTAATTTAATGTATTCATACACTGTTGTATCATCCCGCGCGATTTAAACGAGAAAATAAGTGGGGTACCCCGTGTGATTTAAAAGCACTCAAAATAAACATCTAGACAAGACGACGCAGGTGAAACGAAGATAATCTTTGTTGGTGGAAAAAATTGTTGAATATTAAAACGAGAGCTCGCGTTCTAGGCATTTTAATTTGCGTTTAGCAAAAAATAACGCCAAGGACTCGGCAACCAGCAGGCACTGATTTTAATTCACACTAGAAAATCGATAAATTTCTCCTTGAAAAAAACTGCCCGTTGAACTGAAAATTGCTTCAACTTCGTCCAAACTCTTTTTTTAAGTTTAAAACTTCTCACCTTCGCTTGTTTGTAAGCAGCTATAAAGTTTCCTCAAAAAATTAATGACGACTTCGACCCTATTATGCGAATACCTCCAGACATATTTCTTCAACAAAAACGAATAAAGTACTGTTTGAATAGGTGTCGACAGTCTACCAGGAATATTTAACGTTGCATTACGAAGGCACGCCCGAAGTAGGAGAAAATATCAAAAGAGCCGCGTGATTGCCACAAAGCAAAATAAAGCTCTCTGCTTTGCTTGAACATAATTTCAAGAAACGCCAACAAATACACGACGAGAACACCCATTGTTCGTTCCATAAATATTCATTATTTCAGGTGGAATATTTTGAGCGTCGGAGATGTGAGCCGTATCTCAAAGAATCTGACAGTGGCAGAGAGGAAAAGCTCTTAAGAGAGGCGCAACGGCAATATACTTTTGCTTTTCAATTATTGAAAACAGATGTGAATAAAGTGCACGTTAAGTTTTAACGCCGGCATTTGAATTTTGCGTAAATTATGCATGGAGGCGGAACATGCACGAAGAGCACCCTAAAATCTGACGCTTGTAAAGTTAATAATAATAATAATAATAATAAATGTATGCCCAACGGATTGTTTCATTTACAGGACAATTTACATACATACTTATATGTAAATATATTTTATGGCCCTTATTTCTAGTGTAGGTAAATTCAGAAAAGAAGAAGATTTCTGGTTCTGTCTGTTCATCAAAGAAAAAAACCCATATCTACTACTCGAACAGAGAAGTGTAATCCGGTCCCCTGGTTGAATGAATACCATGAGTTTTAAACGATATACTTACATTTCAGAACTTTTTTCTGAACACGTTCTAAATCAAGCTCATAACAGTGGTTTAATAGACCTCAAACTACGGAAGGATATTCCACTTTAGTAAGAATAAGCGCATTGTAGAGAATTCTCATAACAAAGCCGAGTAATTTGGTGACATAACTACATATCATATCAAGATGGTTGGAGAAAGATACTTTTCCACCAAAAACTACTCCTAAATCTTTTATGATCTCTTTCAGTGCTAGTGGAATATCATCCAGTGAATAATCCGTATCAATCAAATATAATTTCCTTGTGTTAACTATTTGGTTAACACAGAATCTTCTTTAAACAAACCCAGATTTCTGTACTTGATCCTCACAAAAACTAACTAAAATTCCAGCGGCGACGCGTCGACTGTGTGCCGCCACAATAACTTGAATAACCCAACATATCTTCAAAAAAAGGATGAGCGATAACTGTAAAACTCAACAGCTTTTAGCAGCTTTCAGATCAGCAACCAGCTAACTAAAACACGCGAACTTTCTCATTAAATCCGTCAACAAAAACTCTTCGGAATCTTTATTCGCTTGCACATACAGATGAACCAGCGACCTACATCCAGCAAGAACTTCTAGTTTGAATTACTAAGCTTCGCCTGTTCCAGCCAAGTAAGATTAATCAAAGTTGCCGGATTGGATGCAGCACACGATGCAGTCCCTTTTTATCGGCTTCTGCCTAATAAAGTCGCGAACTTCGTCCTGTCAGACGTAATTTAAAGAATTTTGTCAAGTTGTATTGTATGTGGACATTTACATAATCGAGAATCGATGGCGTAATTTGGGAAACGTTTATTCACGGCTGGCCTCTAATGATGGCCGGTAGACCCAGGTGGTCACGATGAATTTCAAATGTAGTGAAAGCACACGATCGAAATGGAGACATAAATATGGGAGAAGCGATACTCGATGTAAATTAATGGGAAGCGATGATGGCGGAGGATGTGGGCAATTGTGACGCTGCAAATGCCGCAGAGCGTTTGGGGAACGAGCGATGGGTTCTTCACCAAAAAGCCTTGGTATTTAGAGATCGTGTTACGGTTGAAACAATAAGAAACTGCCATATTCACTAGCATAGGGAAGTTCCCCGTCTATTCATAATCGTCAAGTCTAATTAATAACGTCATATGATAAAAACGAGCTCGCTTTCAATACGCCTAGAACACACCTGATTTGGTACCTTGATTTGAAATGGCGACGACTAATCAAAAGCGTATCTCGGCAAAAATCATGGTTATATGTTTTTTTTCTCAGAAATTATGTGATGGACATATTCTGTATTTGAAGAACCCATATTTATCTGTTTACCAAGGGTATAATTTGTCAATAGTTATATTATTAAAAACATGAGTACAAGTGATAATTAAAATCGTGTCAACAGTAATTGACACATAAGAAGGTACTATATTACTGTATAATTATTTATTCGTTTCCACTTGCCAGTTGTAACGACGTGTGCCAAGTATCACAACCAACGACATACGTACATTAAACAAATAATAACTAATGTAATTTAATCTAGTAGAAATATGTATGCATTCATAATCAAATATTTTATAATTGAATATAAGAATAAAAAATCCAATTCTATTATTTCTAAATCTACAATACATTTTATAAATTTAATTTTCTTAAATGATGGCACAGAGTCTGGAAGCCACTCTAAAAATTATTATTCAAATATTGACGAACTGCAACAACATAGTGAGAGGACCACCATCTCCTTGAAACAACACTTGGGGCCTTTATCTAATAAGTATGCAATAATTAGCTAAATGTCAAATGATTTCAACAGCTAATTAATTTGTTTAAATTAATTTAAATGAAATCATTCTAGGCAACAAAGTGTGTTTTAAAAAACAAATACTGGCATAAGATGTGTTTTATAACAAACAGTGGAAAAATTATTCTGAAGGTTATGAATTTTTTGCATTATTCTGCATAACACAAGGTTCCAGAAAAATAAATATATATAAGCAAATGCAATTTACTATCAAACTAAAAACAAGTAATTACTTTTGAATGAATATCAGATGTTAACTAATGTTTCCTAATGGGTTGTGAATACATTATTATTAATGATTTGTTTCAAGTACACTGTTGGAGATCAAGACTGTTGGAATTTGTCATTTTCAGCAGTGTTTGTAGTAATAATTAGTAAAACACAAACTACCTTTATTTCATAAATTTTTAAGATGACGTCATCAAATTCCTATAGGGAATGAATAAATAAATGTTGGTTGATATTCTGTAATCTTTTGAATGGTCATAACGTCTTGTCAAAATTTCAAAAAAATTCGTTCTGTAGGTTTCACAAGAAACAATTTTTGTTAACAAATTTTATTTTCTTTTACGGCAACCCACATGCGTAACTTTTAAAAATGGAGACATTGTTAAAACACAAATAAAGCTTCATGTCACAATATAAATTCCCAGTAAAATTTAGATAGCAAAACTCTGACATGAGGTTATAAAATTATTGGACTAAATAGACATTTAAACTTTCAAAATAAATTCAAAAAAATTAACCCAGTTTTGATTAATTGTAAATCATTCACCTGCCAGTCGATCCGATTTTATCATAACAAGTTTTGAATTTTCAAGGTTTCGAAATTAATTAATATAAATAAATAATTACTTAATAACTGACTTTGAATGCACTCTGTCCATTACCGCTACACCTAAATAGTTGGTTACGAGTATCTCATACGGAGTGTTTGTGAATTTTAATTTATTCTATGTGTAACAAGTGCATTTGTACGAGTGCACGTGCAACCCCAAAAAGGTCATTGTCGCGAGCTGATTTGTCTCGGCTGTTCATCATGGGTCGAAATTCTTGTTAACGACCCCTTAAAAATCACTTCTTCCGAACCTTCCCAGAAAATCCCAACAAATAGATCCATATACTTCCTTTGTCCCATCTAGCTATATCCTGTCCTCTCTGCATGTGGCACTGGACCCTCGGGTTAAGTTTATAGTACCACATGTCCAATCTTTTCCGAGGGAGTCGTTAAAAAAAGTAAATTGAGTTTAAAGCGTGCCTAGCCCTTTTGTCGAATTTCAAGAAACGGCACAGTTTTATAGCGACCATGATGGATGGGGACAGAGGCAGAGAAGGGCTTTGTTTGAGAGATCCCGTTATCGAAATGGCGTGATGCGATTCCTCACTTTGTAAATAATTGTGTACAGATGTTTTTAGAAAACAAAAGGTTAGAAAGTCGGATGGATGACGGACATAGATCTGGCCCACCACAGGTGGAATAAAGTTTGCAGTTCCACCTGTGAGAAACAGCCGAGTCACCAGTAAAAGAACGTTTGATGGGTTCGAGATCTATGTCTGGCTATCCTAGTTAAGTCGCGAGCCAGTGGCCACTCCAAAAAGCTGTTCGATAGATTCATGGTATAATGTAAATGATATTGTCAGGGACTTTTGATAAGAATATGTAAATCGACGGCGATTTGAGGGCTTTGCTGGTATAGACGAGAGAGAACGAGAAAGCACTTCTTTCCAACACAGGGGAGTTTCATCCCATTGGTTTTTCTTTGTTAGCCCCTTCACGCCGGGTGGAGTCTCCACTCTTGGCGAAATTATAAAAGAGTAGTTTGGTCAATTTTTGTCAGTTCTCTGGTCGGGATTTTGTAGTGTGCACCTCGTTCCTTCTCGTCGCGTTCTTTGTTTTAAATTTTGCTTCAAAGTATCTTAGTGTTCATTTTTGGTTCAGTGTTAATTTTTTTTATTTGTTTTAATTTTCTAAATTTGTGGAAGTCACCGCGAGCGGTGATCCACTTGTTCATTTTGGTTTTCTTGTGTAAATTTTTGATTAATTCATTAGTGTGTGTAAATAAATAAGGGTGACCGATTTTCAACTAAGTTGGACTTTCTTTTTGCGGACTTTGCGGCCAACCCTTCCGTTAAAATAATAGTGCATTGAAACAGCGGTACTAGTGAGTGACTCCGTGCCCTCGAGCAGCGAAAAGGGAAGTTTCGAAAGGTAAGAGAATTCCCATTTTTCTGTGATGTGTGATTAACACTTCTCAGGTAGAAGACGAGATAAAAACACGCTACCCGATTAAAGATAATTTAATTTTTCAAAATATTATTTTTTTATATAACTCACGCCCCAGCCTAGTTAGGCTGGTTACATATGCTTTTCTAAACAACTACGTATCGTTTACTATATTAAGTGTAACTCTTTTGGAACGAAATAAAATGAATCTTATGCTTCCAACCCATGAACAGTATTTGTATCTTTGCAAAGAAAATAACGATGACCCCAAGACCAGAGACCGCGATCTCGAATCCATAAAAGAATGGCTTAGGCAAGAACCGCATTTGCCCGACGCTTTCGGTAAGCACTTAAAAAATATTTCTAACAGCGACTTTCGTCTCAATTATTATAGGCGACAAAGCTATACTAAACTTTCTCCGCTGGGGCAAATTTTCTCTGGAAAAAACCAAAAAACGCATGGACATGTATTTTACGATTCGAAGCGCCTTTCCTCACCTCTTCACCAACAGAGACATCTCAAACCCCGAACTAAAATCTAACCACGACTACTTGTAAGTCCTTGTACAAGTAATTGCTAAGAAACTTTACAAGGTTTTCCTCAGTTTGTTTGCAGTTTTACCATTCATGACGGACAAAGCCAGACGCATAACTGTGGTGAGTGCGCCAAGAGACGACTTCCAAAGTGAAGACCTGGTCAATTTTGGCAAGATCGTGTTCATGATATCTGATATTCGACTTCATTTAGAAGAAGGTGCACTTGATACGTACATTATCGACGCTAGCATAATTCAAATCAAACATTTTCCCAAAGTACCAGTGTCTGCAATCAAAGATTTCTTAGTGTCCGCACTGGAGGGGTACCCTGTTCGAGTGAAAGAAGTTCACGTGGTAAATGCGTCCACGGTGGTTAGTTTGGTGTTGAAATGGGCGTCTCATTTTATCAAAGACAAAATAATAAGGCGGATTCAAATTCACGAAAATCTGGAGTCGTTGCACAAGTGCATTCCGAAAGAGTACCTGCCGGAAGAGTTCGGCGGTACTGCTGGAAAGTTGATAGATTTTAGCAAACAGTGGATACTTACACTGGAAGAGCGAAAACAGTGGTTTAAAGAACAAGAGAAATTGAAGGCTGACGAGTCGAAGCGAGTGGTAGTGGGAACAAACAGGAATAATATTTTTGGAGTGGAAGGAAGTTTCAGGCAGTTGATGATTGACTAAGTTGTAAAAGTTATGACAAATAATGTCCAATTTATATATACTTCTGTAACTGAACGACATAACATAACCATAATCATAGATATAACATTAAAAAAACGTATTTAATTTATAGATAGATTATTACGTAATTTGTAATGACTCTAAAATCAGTCTGCCAAATTAGTTTCCAAAAATGTTTTACGACGACAAAGATGTTGTAGAAATTGCTGCTTGTGCAGTCGTTTTATACGAATTAAGCAAAACAAAAACAAAACAATTACGAAAGAAAGGCGTTACAAAAACAGGATTGATAAATCGATGTAGAGCGATTAAAGGCTTCAACGTTTTTATTGATGAATGAATGACAAAGAACAGTTTTTTTTAAACACGCGAATGTCGGTGCCGTTGTTTAATAAATTTGCACACTGAAAAACGAATAGCACTATTTTATAGTAAATATATAAGTTACAGTCTTAAAATTTCGGAACATAGCATTTTCCGTAACATAAAAATTGAAATAGTTTCAAAAAATCTTGGGTGATTAATTGATTATATTGACACCTCCCATTGTCATAACAAAAAATTTATCTAAGAAACTGAATATGTGTTATTACTCGTATTACTAGTGCAGCGGTGGCGAGGGAAGCTTTTTTCTACTGATCAAAGTATCTTAGAGTTTTTCTAAGCTGCAACATACACAAAAACTAAACTACCAAGTTTTGTTAAATTTCCTCCTAAAATGTTTTTCTAATTTAATACAGACTGTATAATTCATGACGATACTAAAACTTAATTGAAGAAACATTATTCATGCTTAACCTCTAGTGCATGTTAATTAATATTATATTTCCAAGTAAATTCTTTCAAGGTAAATAATTTTTCTTAGCTTGGGCAAACAAACGAGTACCACCTCCGCACTTACCACAAATTGATTAAATCATCATTTCGCAACACATTGCAATACTGTAGTTACGAAACAACAGTACATCAAGGAACACATCACGTAAATTGTGAAAAGTGTACTAAAATGTATTCTTCCAACTGCTGAGCAACCCTCACTTCTACGAAATTCATCATTGAAGACAAGGCATCCATAAAACAATAATCTATCAAAAATTTTTATTCGATTTTGAGAAATACGAGTCCAACGTATTCAGGTCAGTGTTGTTTCTCTGCAAATAACAATAATTATAGATTTTTTTAACAATTTTTAGAAATATGAACAAATTTTCCACAGTGTAAGTAAACAACAAAAGAACTCAGTACCACTTTCTGAAAACTAATAGATAACTTCAAGACAACTAACGCGTCTTCTTGGCTAATGTTATCCAATTATATTTTCTTCGATTTCTCGGAATATGATGCAACCTTAAAAGCCTACAATTACTAAACATTTACAAATAATTGTTAGTTTCCACTCCTTATCTTTGATCGAGGACGCCGTCACAGGTAACTTCTGGACTTTTAACCTCAAAGGTCTTTTTTTCTTGTACAAACAAGTAATTAACGCCTCGCTAGATATAACCCACCGATGCCGCTACGCGAACGTGAGATAAAAATGATTCTCGTTCCTCCAACGGCCGAACAACAGTCGCTTCTGCGAAAACTCAACAACGAAGACATCGCGTCCAGAGACCGAGACCTCGAAGCCATCAAGCAATGGCTGAAGCAAGAACCACATCTCCCCGATGCTCTCGGTAAGGACTCTCAGAGTATTCTTTGGTCAACCAAATCATTCCAGACGACGACGCCCTGCTGAATTTCCTCCGCTGGGGCAAATTCTCCCTGGAAAAAACTAAAAAACGCCTGGATAAGTACTTCACGGTGCGGAATGCCTTCTCAGATTTTTACACCCGCAGAGACATCACAAGGCCCGAACTTCAACTAGATCCTCAAAGTTTGTGAGTACTGTTAACACCAAACCAGAAATTCGAAGAAATCACGTTTTTAAAGCACGTGGACACCACTCCCGGTGCTCAGCCCTGAGGGTCGACGCATCTGTGTTGCAACTTCCCCCAGGTGCGACTTCCATGCCGAAGACACCATTAGTTTTGCGAAAATTGTGGTGATGATGGCCGATATTCGGGTCTATGTCGAGGAAGGGGTTCATGATGTCTATATTCTTGATGCAAGCGCTGTTTTGTTGAAAAATTTGCCCAACGTTTCTATTTCTACTATCAAGAGTTTCTTGATTTGTGCGCTGGAAGCTTATCCTGTTAGGATAAAGGAGTTACATATTATCAATGCCACTCCTTTGGTGAGTGCGGTGATGAAGTGGGCCGCGCGTTTTGTCAAAGACAAATTGATGAAACGTGTTAAGATTCATGATAGTTTAGAATCGCTGCATGAGTGCTTTTCGAAAGATTTGTTGCCGGAGGAGCTAGGTGGTACTGCAGGGAAGTTGGCCCATTTTAGAAAACAGTGGATGAGTACATTGGAAGAGTACATGGAGTGGTTTATAGAAAAAGAAGACTTGAAGGCTGACGAATCAAAGCGTGTGGAAAAAGATGTAACTTGTGGAGGGCTGTATGGAGTGGATGGAACTTTCAAACGGTTGACGATTGATTGAAATTAGTTCGGTGTTTTAATTCCTACTGTATTTTTTTCTAATATGATTTAATAAAGTTATGATGATAAAAGAAGTATTACATATAATCTAAAAAAACCCGTAAAATCGTTCACGATTGTTATAAAGATCACCATTTTAGCCCTGATGATTCCAAGTCTAAGGAAATGAACACGTTCCTGTGTTCAGTTCGAGTATTGCAGTTTCTACCCTGGTTTTCTAGGACACCAAAATCAGAACAGACATCAAGGGAATGACATTCAAAGAGTCTCGCTCTTTATTTCCCGAGTGTAAGCTAAGAAAGTATTATAATAAGGTCCCATCCGACCCATTTTCTAGACATTTCACAACTCCTAGAGTAAGAAAAAGTAGGTCGTCCGTGCGTTTCCGTTTATCGTCTGTTGACGATTTTATTAAACAAAATTAAAATTTGTGGACTGGTCCCTGTGAAATTTTAACTGTATTTTAAGAACATTCTGTAGATAGACAAACGCAAAATTTACCTAGCCACCTCCACGAACAATTTGATAACGTCAACTCAAAATTTTATGAAGTAAACAAATATCTAAATTTAGATTTTGTATGATTAATTTACGAAAAGAAGCTGTTTTAAGATATAATAGTCTCAAATAGCTAGTGGTTTAATTTAGCCGAAAATTAAAATATTTAATTTATTTTGTATAATATAGATTGTTCTTAAAATATGATCAATAATTACCTTCCTTCTTTCCGATTGCTTCAAAAAGGGTAATAAATAAAGTCATCCATTACAAATAAAACTAACTACTTTATATCGATGTTTATATAATTTGATCACCTTGAATCCAGTTCTGCTGGTAAAGTAATTACTGCAATCAGTTGCGTATTCTAAAAGTCTCATAATATGTAGTAAGCCGCAGAATAACCATCATTATACATTTCCACTTTTACGGGGAAGCATGAACCTCATCCGCCCAACTCCAGAACAGCTAACCCTCCTCCGAAAACTGAACAATGAAAACACTAGTACCAACCTACACGACCTTGACAGCATCAAACTCTGGTTGCAGCAAGAACCCCACTTACCAGATACTTTCGGTAAGCTACCAACCCTCTTACTTTTTTTAGCGTCCCATTTTTAGATGCGAGAACGCTGCTAAACTTCCTCCGCCGAAGCAAATTCTCCTTAGAACAAACTAAAAAGAGGCTTGATACTTACTTCACCGTGAAAAACGCGTTTCCGGAGTTCTTCACCAAGAGAGACATCACGCTGCCAGAGCTGCAACGAATTTACGAAATCTGGTGGGTGTTTGAGCTGTCGAGAAAAGTACTAATTGTAGCAGGTCGTTCGCAGTTCTTCCGATCTTGACCCCTCAAGGTAGACGCGTTACGGTGGTGATGTATCGTGGACGTAATTTCCAAATGGAAGATACCGTCAACTTTTGTAAAATAGTGCTAATGATGACCGATATTCGAGCTCAGGAGGAAGAGGGTGTTCACGATATTTTGGTCGTTGATGCTGCGCCTGTCCAGCTGAAAAATTTGGGCAATGTGTCCCTCGTGGCAGTGAAGAGGTTCTTATTCTGTGCACTGGAAGGGTTGCCGGTTAGAGTTAAAGAGTTCCATGTGATAAATGCGTCGCCTCTTGTAGGTTTGGTGGTCAAATGGGCGAGTCGTTTTGTCAAAGATAAAGTAATAAGGCGAGTTCAAATTCACGATAGTTTGGAGTCCCTGCACGAATGTTTACCGAAGAAGTTCCTACCAGAGGAAATTGGAGGTACTGCCGGGAAACTAGAGGATTTTATGCAACAGTGCTGGGTTACTTTGGAGGAACATGTAGAGTGGTTTAAGGAGCAGGAAAAATTTAAATCAGATGAGTCCAAGAGAGTGGGCAAAGAAGCTCCTTGTGGAAGTAATTTCGGCCCGGAGGGGAGCTTCAGGCAACTGTCGATTGATTAAGGTTTAAAATCCTGCAAATAAATGAAGAGTTTTGGTTATAGATTTTTTTTAATAATCACAGTAACTTTAGATATGCCAAGCTTTTTCTTTTACACATACTTCCTGCTCTTAAGGTGGTCCAGACAAAGTTCTTTATTTTTTTTATTTTATTTTTTTTAGAATATCTGTCTAATTTATTAATTCTGTATTTATATCACAAATAAATATTATTGTTATACACTATACCAATATTTATGATAATAATAACATACTATTGTAGTTAAAAGTAACAATGTTGGGAAATGAGTCGCTTTACCCACTTTTTTGACCTCTTGTGGCCAAACTTCCATAAACCGCAATGAGCAAATTAATCAAAAAACCCTATCTTCGCCAAGCATAACACTAAAACAGTTATAAAAACGCTCGGGCCAATAAATAAATTTCCCCGCGACGTTATCCCTCTCACTATCTCAATCTTACAATGTAAATTAAGCCCCGTAAAAACCCGGCCGCCGCACCAACTCTTTCGGTGGTGTTAACGAGCCCCGGCCGCCGCCGCCCCCGAAAATAATTAACTTTTGAATAGCCATCATAGCCCAAACAGCTGTAAAGTTAATTAAATTGGAAAAAGGTCTCGCGGTGTAATTGCCCGAAATAACCGATTGCAGGAGCACTCCTTGCAGCAGGAGCGTGGCAGGAGCGCTAGCGGGCGGGACTAGATCCTGCTGCAGGATCAATACTCTGAGGACCAAGGCTCAGGACAGGACTGTCGGCTTATTTATGATATTGCTCGCGCTGTTTCAATAGCGAATTGTTGTAATTTTTTTATTGACTCGTCCAGACCATTGTACTCTCGAGAAAGGAAAATGGGGCAGGGCCGGGGCGACCACTGTCATTAGAAAACTGTTAGTCGTGTTGAAAGTTCTTACATAGTGTGCTCCCATAACGAATCCGACAAAAAATACTTTTAAAAATTTTAAACTCCTTCTAAAATTATTTATTTTCAAAAAAAGAACCAGAAAATAATCGGTAAATCGTCAATTGATAACAAGTGCTGCCATAGCACAGCCCAAATAAAAATCAAAATTACCCAGTTTTTTAATGGGAGTTGGTCCCAAACAACATCAAAAGTTTTTTAGCCGAAAAAATGAGAAACGAGGCGAGCAAAGGCGGAACTGGGCTACTGCCGAAAAACTATCATTAATTAGTTCCTTTGTGAGGGTTGAAAAACTATTAGTCGCGCTAGGGTTGTTTGAATAGGGTCGGGCAAGAATGAGCCAATTTCGTGTGTCATAATTCGAGAAAACGGGGAAAATTATGCGGCCCGAGACCCGAACTATTCCTAATTAAATATTTATTTTGGTGGGATTTGGAGGGATAGGAGCGACGTCACCATATTGAATTTTCTCGTACGTTTTCCGCTCATTCCAGACTCAATTAAGGTTACATCAATTAAATATTGTGACATAAATAACCTTCGTTTCAAGAGGAATTGTCTGCTGTTGTCGTGTTCTACTTGATGAGGACTTTAATGGGGACGAGAGCTAGAAAATTTTCATATTTTAATCAACGTCAGTTAGCTACCGCACGAGGGTCTGGGGAACCAGGTCGTAGCCGCGTCGGCCCAGCAGGTGATAACAGCAATTTTTTTAGGAATTTAGATGAAATGGATAAATGCGTCACCATCAGATAGGTACTTTTTTTAACCTTTATGAAAAAAAATCTGTCTTCTCTTAATAATTTCTGTACCTTGAATAATAGTGTCTAAAAGCTGCTGCCTAGAATTTGGTACACAACTCATAATGATATAGTTTATTTGTGCTATACAGACAGAAGTATCATACTAGAATAAAAAACAATAGGTCTCTTATTTCCGTCGGTAACCTTATGAATCCTTTCTGATTTTTTGCCCTACACTTTTGGAAAACAAAATCAAAATTGCTTAACATTTTACAATTTTACTGTGTCAGGGTATCCAATATTCGTATCGTCTTCATAAGTACAGTGCACACATCTAGAATAAAATCAGATAAGTTATTTGATGTAACACAAAAACAAAAGTGGCTTTGTAGTAATTGATTTGCTCTAAACAAATTATAATTATATTTATTTGAAATATTACTGCATGAGATATTTATGGACCACTCTAAAACCAAACTGCCTTTTCGTAAAAATTTATATTCTTCAAAGTAGTTGAGTATTTAAATCATTAACAATTTCTCAAATATTTTTACTAAATAAGGTAACAACATTATAATTGTTGCATTCATTAGGATAATTTTTTCATAAATTAGAATTAATTATTATTGAACGAAACAATCTGGAAAAACACATGTTGTTTTTATTAAATTTATACATACGCTTTTCCAGATTTCCAGATATTTGTCACACATATGTATGTAGTAAAGTATCGCAAGTGTTACACTGGACAACAAAATGCACTAAATTATACTTTGGATTTTATCACTTTACCTATGCGAAATGCGTTGAATTGCCTGACATTGAACGACCGGTGCAATATTTAATATATGTATAATCTTTAAACAATAATGATGTATAATAACTGCATGACCGTGACGGGTTTTTTAGCTCTAAGGTTCATTTTTTTTAATTAGCAGCACGACACAGAAGAGAGAAAACAACAGCAACTACCAAAAGAAGGCACAAGAAATCACTTTCCGGAGCTCAATAAGCAAAGCTCTACCGGAAACTGTTTGACGAGAATATTCATAGCATAATTTAATTAAACTTTTGTCTGGAACTTGTATTCGAATTTTGCAGGCTCATGCTTTATACATTTAAATGAATTTAAACAGGCACCGCCCATACAAACTCCATTATTAATCGCAAAGCGAACACAGTTTAAGGATACAACCCCCAAGCATAGGCGTAACTAAAAACAAAGCAAACCGGGGGTCGAACCAGATTTGGATTAACTTTGTGCGAAATGATGACCTCGAAAACCCACAATGTCCAAATGAAAAAAAACGCTCATTATAAAAATACAATGAGGCGGTACACCATCTTGTTGAATAGACTTAAAATAGCACCAATTTAAAAAAAATATATCTTGTGTCAAATTTAAAACAATGTGAGTTTATTAGAGGAAAACCACAAGCAACATCCCTCGACAGTGCCCCATTGCGTCGCACCCCCAGTAATCAGAAAAAATTATTTCACCTCGCCACCCTCCGTGCGCGTTTTCCCGCACGTGTCCTGCCGCCCCTGCCGCGTGACCTCTCCAGCCCATCACAATGGCGTCCTCCTCTCCTGGGGTGTCTTGACTCTTTTTAATTCCGCGTATCTGCGCGGCTTCCGAATTGAATCCTTTTTTTTATCGCAATGCAGAAGACGATTCCGATGGACTAACGTTTCATTTGAATAAAAAATCGAGCTCAAAGGCTTCGCTGCGAACGAGTCAAAGGCAACAAGTGAGATGACAGGTTTTACGTAAGATCATCCCTCGGGGAGATTAAAGAAATCAATTCGGATTAGAATGAAAGCCGTAATCACTGCAGGCTTGATAAGCGTCATTTACGTTCGGTTCTGTTTTGGTGAGGTGGAAACTCGAGGCCCGTTTTTGCGGCGGCGGGGTTCGAACGTGACGGGCGGTGGAGGTGGGGACGGCGCTGAATAATTTAGTAAAATAGTCGTAGGTTTTTGAATAATAAATGCGATTGTAATTCTGGCATTGAAAATGTGGGGTACGTTAAGTTTTATCGTTGTGTCTTCCTGATTGTATGATTGTTATTAATGGCGGTTCTAGGAATGGTGGGGACGGCGAAAGACGCGGTCGTGGCTATATTTATACCTCAATGTACCTTGGTTTTTTCAGACATACTTAGTTAAAGTTTATGTTTTGTTATATGAATGAAATCTTAGTTTTTGTCATGCGGTGTGTTTGATGACGATATTAATAATAATAATGATGATAATGATACTTTAGTACTCCGTTTGTTGTTGGTGAATTAATGTAACTATGAAGTTGAAATTTAAGTCTCGCGATGCTGATCTGGAACGCCCCCACGGTAGCCGCCCCGCGCATCTCGAATTTAAAATAAAGTAATATCAAACTTCCAAAGTTAATTTTGCGGCTGTTGGCTTTCCGACGATAATGTCGAGCGCCTTATTGCAGGCATTTATGTAAATAAAGCAACAATTCGATTTGGAACACTTTGACTTTAAATAGCCGCTCTATTGACTCATTCCAAACTTTGAATGTCATTCAGAGTCGGAAGTGAATAAATATTCGGCGCAGCAAAATTCAGACAAAGCCATAAAACAACTCTCGAGCATTCATCCGACTGCTCTTTCCACCACCAACTATAAACTTAAAACTTGCGCGCTAGTATGAGATTGTTTGGGTTCTGTGTTTTTGTTTTTTCTAGAACTTTATTCCTCCAGAAAAGAATTTTTCTGGCGTACTTTTCTCGAGACGTCGGGAATTTTAGAGAAATTTATTTAACTCGTGAAAGAAAAATAACTTTCGAGGTTACACAATGTATATTTTTAAATCAACTCAATGAAACAGACGCAGGCTTGTTGATAGAAAATAAATAAATATTGCTCTACAGTGCCTGTCAATCCGTCCTCTGCAGACTCGAAACCCGACGCAGATAAACATCTACTACTCAGTCTAGGGCGCTGCCAATAAAAAAGGTCAAACCGTTAGATTGGCTGGCAGGTGGGATGGCGGGAATCGCATGAGTTTAAGTTGCATTTAAATTGCTTTGGATGGGGGCCAGCGGTATCGTGAAGGCGATCATTACGCCAAGTGCAATTTTATCGGTGCCGAAGACGGATAATGACTTAATTGCCTGTGCGGGGCGATTAAGGCCTGTCATTCAACCTTGGTAGGTTGTCTCAGAAGCGGAAGAAATCAGAGAGATCGACGAGATAGGAGCGGCGTACTCGAGGTGTTGGAGGCGGGCACGCGATGCGCTAAATTGCAGCGAGTTGAGGTGCATAATGGATTAAGTTGTTGCGAATTTGTAAGCCGCACTAATTTGCGCTTACAGAGATGTGTGCTCCAAGGCTGACGCTACAACGACACGGATGATAAATTTGCACCTTGTTGGAGACTGACGGTGATTAGAAAGTCGATG